GGCTAAGCTTGTTTGTGATCTCTTGTAGCTGGATGAGAATTATTATGAGCAAAGATAAAAGTCTTTGTGTAGCAACAAAGCCTATATGAAGAAATTTCTCCTATAACAGTTATGAATCATGATAGCTTTCTGAAATGCAAGCTAAAGGCTACCCTGACCTTCTTTGTTGATGTAAAGCATCTCCTTATGCAGGCTGTGGAATCGAAATCTCATAGCTGTGAATTGGTGGTTGAGGACCATGTGGATGGGCCATGGTAGGCCAGTGCCAGCAGGAAAGCTACTACTTTAGCTGGAAAGAAAGAAGAGGGAGCACTGGTTCTACTGCTGCAGTTTGAGTTCTGCCTTTAGTGCTTCCTTTACTGTATTGAAATTAATTTTGAAGGAAGGAAGATAGAGGAAGCAGGAATCCAGCCTTATGCTCCATGCTCCATTACTTGATCAAGCTGCTTAGGGCTTGGTGCTGCCGGTCCGATAGGTATAACTCCATTGAAGTTGGCAGTCCTCTGGCTGTGGCTTATGGCTACAGAGAGGCAGATGAAGTAGCCAGAGCATGGTCTGGTTTGCCTTTTTTTTTTTTTTTGTCTCTCCAGACAACTGGAAATGCTAGGTTTAGTAAGCAGCTTCTTTCAGTATTAACTGAGTATTAAAGAAGACTAAACTTGCATCCTTTGTACACTTGTGGAATGTTAGGTGATGGTAAGTTAAATGCTTGTCTGAAGTCCTCCCATCCTACCCTTCTGAGAAATGTGTCTGGGATGCTGCCGGCTCCTTCCTGGGGCAAGACTTCTGTGGGTGCTGGAGAACAGAGCTGTCCCTGGCCTGTTGGTGGGCTGATTACAAGGGCGCAGACCCAGCAAGGCCACCTGCCAGGGTGCAGGTAAAAAGCAGTACTCATGAATGCGGCTGTGCTTCGGTGACTAGGGCGGTGTTTTGGAGCACACACTGAAGCTGGTGGCTGGGCTTGGATCTGGTGGTGAGATGGAGAGTGTGCACTTTGAGTGCTGCCGTCTGTGCCAGAGTTAGTGCTAATACTAGATCTGGGGTGAGCAGAACCCAAACTGGTTCATGCAGGTAGGTGTTGGCCCTGTGCTATGTTGCAGGAATACAGTGCAGGGACTTAGTCCAGCCTGGAAGCAGTTTTACTCTTGAATAACCCTTATTCAAGGTAAGCTAGTACTCAGGCAAGTAAATGTGTTCATGTTGCCCTACGATACAATCTTAACCATTTTTCTAACTTGCCAGTTTCTTAGAATAACTGTTGGCGTGGGCAAACATCATGTAAGGCTGGTCTGTTGTTGCCTGCTTAGCTAGCTCGTACTCCCCTTCAGCCTCAAGTGCTTCAGGTCTAGCGTCGGGGGTGATTTAGTGATTTTGAACATAAGACTCGTTGGACTGAGGAGGCTTTAACTGGGCAATTCCGTGTTAACTTTAGTGCCTGACTTTAAGAATCAGATGGCACTATACTTCTAGTATATTATGTGATTAGGTTCTCCAGGAGCTTGAAGTGTTAAAAAGGGAGCATCTCTTAAACCAGGAGGCTGAAAGTCTAGTCCTGCAGGTTTTTTCTGCACGTGGTCTCTGAAATTCAGGCTCTTCAGTCTCCCTCTTTCTTATCTTTCACATATGGGCAACTTTGTTTTGTGACCTTCAGCAAATAGTTGGTATTAATGCTGTATGGTCTGTATGACCTCAGAGCTAATGGCTTAATTCATAATCACTTCTAGTACATGAGGCTGATCTTCCAGGAGACCTGGAGGAAGTACAGTGTCTGCCTATTGGAATATTCACGAGTGCTATTGCCAGATTTGTAAGCAACTACTCTTGCTGTCCTTGAGTGTTTGAGCAATGATGCTGTGTATGACAACAGCCAAACGCTTTCAGATTGGGAATTGAAAATATTTCTGTGCTTGTCAAACTTGTTTTAAAGCTCTGATGCCTGTTTTAGAAGGCAAAAGCATCGTATTGTGAACACACAGTGATAGGGCTGAGTAATCTGCTTGGGGGAGGGGGCACAGCAGAGGAAGTCTGATTCGAACAGAACTGCCTACTATTAAAAGCATATTCTTGTTCTGCTGTTCAAATAGCTTTTGCATATGAATACACTAAGATGCAGCTGTATTCCTGTTTTTTTTTCTTCTGCAGCAGTAGTAAACAAAAGCCCTCTACATTTTGGGTTTAGAGAATAATTTCTAGACCAAGACAGTTGGGTGCAATAGCAGAACCTATCAAAGTTGATCACTGACTGCTAGCAAAATCTGTTGCAATAATTTAACTATTTTTTGACCTGTTTTAAAAGATAAGGTGACTGCCAGTAGCTTTCTTCAGGTACACTGGCTGAAGAGAGGAACAGCCACACTTAATCAGTGTATGGTCATTCAAATGAAGATCTAAGTTGATCAATATGCTCAAAACCTGCAGTCAGATGTGCCCCTCAAAGCTATAAAGTGCATGCCTCACCTCAGAATCCACAGCCTCCAAACTTCCTACAGAGAGAAAGGGTGTGCTTGTGTTTTGAAGCACAAAATACAAGGCAGCTCACTGAAGGCACCTGCTACCCATCCCTTCTGTTTCTGACAGTTCAGAGGGTATGTCAGGTAGTGCTGCTTTGTCTCGTCTACAGAGCAGAGTACAGAAAACTGAAACGCAAGTTGTAATGGAATGATTCTGTAGAGTAGTTTTTAAGCAAGTTAGAACAAGTTTTTATGCCACCTGGATGTAGCGTGGGTAGAATACCTGCAAAGTAGTATAAGGTGCAGCAGCTGTTCTTCAATATTAAATTAAACACATGGCAAATAAGGTGCTGGTCTCATCTGAAGGAATCTGTGTCCTAAAAGAGCAGTGAGGGAGCATAAACTATTGATAGGAATGAGTAAAGGATCTGGAAGTGTTGAAGTGGGAATAGCTGACAGTATGTGGGGTAATAAGTAGCACAAGAAGGTGGAGGTTCAGGGAGTGCTTGAGAGATGTTTGGTTAGATGATGTAGGTGTAGGGTGTGACGGGAGGGAGGAATGCTGTGATTTTTGGGCAACCATGGCAAGCTGACCCTTCAAAGGCAAGACTGGGAGTGCATGCTTTAGGAACGGAACTGAACTGCATCAGACATGGGAAGGGTGATTAACCATCTGCTGCTGAGCTGCACACTGGCTGAAATGGTCATTTCATACACGTGGCTTTCAGGGCGGGAGCGGGTAGCTAATGAACCGGCATTCAGGTTGTGCACTTACCTTGCTGAGTTAGCAGAAAGGTTGGAGTAGTTTCTGAAACAGGGCTGCGTGGGAGTGCTATATGCAATATAGCTTAACTGTGTAGCTTAAACAGTTGAAACTTCTTTGAAATGTGAATGCAAAACAGCTGCCTAATGAGGTTCCAGCTGTCCATTTACCAGAGCATCACTGTCTTCACCGTTACATTGCTTGGGTTCAAGGCCTTAGTTATTTTTTTCACTCCTTTTAAAAGACTGCCAGGCTGTATAGCCATGTGTCTGGGAAGTAGTTCTTGAATGTGAAAAATCACCACTCGTTAAGGGGACTGCTGGCTTCAAGTCCAAGCTCTGGAAGTGTTTCTGTTTTGGAGGTCAACAGTGAGATCAACATGCCATTTAACTGAAGGACTTGGCCAAATAAGCCCAAATGTGACTGCTATCATCGTTGTTTTCAGTTGACTTCTAATGGTGATCAGCATTATACTGAAGTCTGTGTATTGTGTGAAGCTTCCAGTTTTGGTTTGCTAGTGAAAGATCACAGGGTTTTGGAGGTATGCGGGGTGGGTGAGATGAGGGGGGAACAAGCTGAAGAAAGTGTGGGCTTCTAGGCTAAGAATTGGATGACAAAGCATTGTTATTACAAGCTGATCATCTTACGGTTGCAAACTCTGAAGAGCGTGTACTCAAAGCATGGCCAGTCAGACTTAATTATGGCTTCTAGGTTGTGAGCAGTTGGTCCCTAACTCTACAGGCTGATGTGATGCCTGCTTCATAGATCCTAAAGGGCTTCTAACTCAGGCTAGCTTCTCGGTGCAACATCAAGGGAGAGGAGCAGTTTCTGCTGCTGTGATATCGAACCCTAATTAATCAGCTGAATGCATTTGAGTTGACCTTTTTTCCAGATCCAGTCAACTGTCTGGTTCTGTTACACAGAGTGGATGTAGGGACGTACATAAAGCTCACTGTGGCTGAGATTCACCTTCTGCCAAATAGCCGAGGGAGCATGGGAGGAATCTGTGCTGCTGTTGATAACATTTGTTATGGCTCCTGGGTTAGCTGCAGGAGATAGCTGTGAACTTGGCTCTCAGGCTGTTACAGGTAAGAATGTAACACAGTAAAACATCTGCCCCTACACAACCTCTCTAATACAACACTGTTTTGCAGCAGTTATGTCAGAGCTTAAAGTGATGCTGAACTTCTGGGTTGAAATACTCTCCCGTTGCATTCCGCTTGCCTCTTTCACTGCTGAACTAATTGGACACTGTGTAGCCTAGCAGGAAGCAGACCTGTCAGGTCCTTCCACTTTCCAGCCTTTTAAAGTTCCTCGGGGAGTTAACCCATACCTGTGGGTTGGAGGCTTACTCCATAAGAGTAATTTATTACTGTAAATGTTGTCCATAGAGTAGCTTGCATCAGAGGGAAATCTTCTGGATATTCCTAGCTCCTAGGTAACTAGGAGATCCTGACGTACAGAACTTGGCTGCAGCAGAAATAGGTGAATGACTCTTTTCCTATACTTGCCCTGGCTGTCCATCTGTTAAGTTACGCAAAGCACTTCTCGACAAGAAATTTTGCTCCCCTGACTGCCCCAAGGCTTGAAAAATTATTTAAGTGCTTGTAAGAAATAACCTGACTGACTTCAAACGAGCTTCAGTACACATGTATGTATCGATGACTTCCTGGCTATAAAGCCTTCAATTGGATGACAAATGGTTAGAAAAAGCTTATGATATTTTACTAAGTAAACTAGCTACATCAGATAAGCACTAAATTTAACTTTCCTTTTTTCCAGTCAGGTCAGTTCAGTGAAGATATGATTCCTACTGTGGGCTTCAACATGAGAAAAGTTACAAAGGGTAATGTTACAATAAAGGTACGTTGCCATCGTTGGCTGACTCTTCTTAAACTTGTGCAAGGTTGTCTTCAGCTTCTAGTGTAAAATATATATGCTTGCTCTGTTTTGCTCCCACCATTGGGATAAATATAGGAAACTGAAGAGGCTCAGCTAAATCTGTCCAATAGCTTAAGAATACACTTAGGTTTGTTTATGGGTTTCTTAAATGAGAATCTGTGTGTGATTTCCAGCTTCATGAACTGGTTAAAGCGATGTTGTGAAAATGCTGTCTGGCTTTATTCTGCGTTAATTTTCACAGTTTGGGGCCCAGGGATCCACCTCTTCTGCTCATTAATATCGCTCAAGGGAAGGCTGACATGCAAAGCAAAGCTTTACGTCAATATATCTTATTTTATTATATTCCACAATGTGAAAACGTAGCACACAGGTGTGTTCTTACATCTGGTGTAAGATGCTCTAGTTTGCGTCTTACGTATTGGGCCTGCAAGCTTTAAGCAGCTGTACCAGGGGTTGTTTCTGCTCTGATGTGTAAGAGGTCCTGCAGCTGGCCTAAGGAGGAAAGACAGGAAATCAAACTACATTTTTTCTCATCTTTGCGTGACATGTTTAAACCTAGTACATGGCTAAATTGTCTTTTTCCCTTTGCCTTAAGATTTGGGATATAGGAGGGCAACCACGATTCCGAAGCATGTGGGAGCGATATTGCAGAGGAGTTAATGCTATTGTGTAAGTGTTGCCTTCCTTCAGCTAGTACTTAACTTCAAATTTGCTTCTCTGTGTGTAGCCTTTCTAACAGGGCGTGCTTGCCTAGGTAGTACTCGTTTTAATTTTGAAACTGTACTGCAACCATATTGACCTTTTTTTACCCTTCAGTTCAGTCTCAAGATGGGTTATGTTCTTATCAGTGTCTGATCTGGAGTACTAACTACTTCCTGTCTGAACTGAGTGGCAGTGCTGTCTAATTGAAAGAACCTTCCCTTTACTCTGATCGTAGAGGACTTTTTTCAAAGAACCAAATTCTTTGCTTAGAAGACCCAGCTTTTTTTTTTTTTTAAAGTCTTGTTGAAGGTGCTCAAAACTGACGGTGTAAAGGAAAGTGCTGTTTCTGAAGTAGTTCAGTCTCACTGGCCTAACCTCAAATTCTCTTTAAAGCTACATGGTAGATGCTGCAGATCGTGAAAAAATTGAAGCCTCTCGAAATGAGCTGCACAATCTTCTAGATAAGCCACAGTTACAAGGAATCCCTGTAAGTAATATTGCCTTACATAGTATTAAATACGCTTGAGAAATGTGCATGATATTAGCAACTCTGACTTAAACGCTTAAGGTCTAACCTTACTGGTATAAGCGTGAATACCTGCCCCTACTGCCTTAAATTAAATTGTTTAGCTCAGTCAGTCCTTCAGTGATCTTGTTCAGTATCCCAGCAAAAAAACCCCAATCCCTGCACCACTCACTACTCCCCAAAAAAACCCACCCCAAACAAACGAGAATAGAGAACCACACCAAAAAACCCCCACCTTTGAACAGAAGTTTAGAGTATTCCACAGTACGAGTTTGTGCTCTCTTCTTGAGCCTGCTGTAGTACAGGTTAACCAGGGTGTAGTACAGAAGTGTAGAGTAAGTTTGGGGAATCTCAGCTGAAAGTCTGCTGGGGTTGTTCTCGGATTTATCAGTTGATGTGTTCTCATGCTTGCCTTTTGCACGTAACAGTTTATTTGTGCCCCTTCCTTCCCTGTCACTTGGTCAATCTTCCTTTTTGATCTGGTTTAATAATGAATGTCTCATTCCATTAGATCTAATAGCAGAGTGCAGGCTGCTTGTCAGACTCCCCTGAAGTTTACTGTTTGAGTGGGGTTTTTTGGGTGTTTTGTGGTGGGTGTGTGGGTTTTTTCTTTTTAAGAAAAGCTGCAACTGTTTCCTTCTGCTTTGGATTTCAGGTTCTAGTACTTGGAAATAAGAGAGACCTTCCTAATGCTTTGGATGAGAAACAGCTAATTGAAAAGATGTAAGTCTAACTCTTTCTAAGAAAGGCTACTTAACTCAATAAATGGGTTAGTATACGTAGGCTGGTTGGATCGAGAAGCTTGCATTTATAAGTAGAAAACCCAGCAACAGAAGGTGGCGAAAACATTGCATAGAAACAATTTATGTGAAGGGGAGTGGTTTAGATTCTCAGTATAAGAGTCCTTGTTATAATTGAAGTGTATGTTGAAATGTTCTCTCTTTCACAGGAACCTTGCTGCTATTCAGGACAGAGAAATCTGCTGCTACTCAATTTCTTGCAAAGAGAAAGATAATATAGGTAACTATTAACATAAAATGCTAAGTATTATGAAGACCTGTCAGAGGATGGATTGGGGGACTGTAACTTCTTAAAGACAAGCTTCCTGCCTTCAGGAAACTGGTGACAAGTGAAAGAACAATGTGTAAGCACAGTAGTTAAATTTGGTATAGCTCCTGATGGCAGTGAGGAAGCTTGACTGGTCTTAAAGTTGTAGGGGTTGTAGTTACCAAAACATGTGCCAGTCTCCGGTGAAATCTGCTGCCTTTCTTTAGTTTGCACCAAATAGCTGACTAGTCTCACTATTAGCTTGGCCTAAATGATTTTATACTTCTATCAGGTACTCTCAACTCTGCCTCACTACATGAGGCTAGCGAGTGCAGCCAAACATTAAATTTTTTCTGGTGCTGGCATCCATTGTTTTAGAATTTCTGGATTTCAGAAATCATGGTACTGTGTAATACCAAGTACCTGATGCTAGACTAGTATTGTAAGTAAACTGAATCTCAATGGAATGAAAACAGTACTTAGCAGCACCTGCCATCCTTCTCCCAATGCCTTCTTGTGGTGTCATGAGATGAGCACTGGTTTACTGGCAGGTTAACATGGTTTACTGGTGAGGGAAACTTCAGGCTGGTGGTCACAGGAACAAACTACAGAGGATATCAGAACTTTTTTATATTAAGGACTCAACTTTCCAGGAAAATTGAACAGCCTGCGGAACTCTTGTGGGTTCCTACCTGAGAAGCCCTTGTCACCTTGCCATCAGTTAAGATTCAAACACAGTGGGTAGGAGAAGCAGACGCTCCCTTCTGTCATATCCCCTGCAGAAGGCTCACAGCACAGCTGAGCATCGCTGTGCTATAGGGAAGGTGCTGCTGGAGGCATTGGGCTAGTATGATGCTAGTGCATTTCACTTCCTTAGGAGACCCTCTTTCGAGCATGGAGGAGCTGGATGCTCTGTACTGTAGGGCTAAACTAACTTTGCTGTCATCAGATGAGGAGAGGCAGACTGGCTAAGTAGAGCAGTGTTGATCTAAACCTAATTATGTGAGCCAAAGTGATGTCTTTTCCTAGAGGTGTAGTTGACTGAGGAACCAGGGTGTCTGGGGCAGTTACTTTAAATGTCACTTAAAGGATTCTGGGCAGTTACAGGACTAATGCGCAGACTGCAAGCATTCCAAGAAATCATTCTGTTGATCTGCTTGGACCATCTTTTAGAGAAGGGCTGGATATTCCTGTGATTCGAGGACGCTGGCATGCCAAAGTGGTGCCAGTTACACAAATAGAGGTAGACGCTTGAACAGGGAACTTCTCTTCTCTCTCTTTAGATATCACGCTTCAGTGGCTTATTCAGCATTCAAAATCTAGAAGAAGCTGAAGTCTTCCTGGAATCTCCAGTACCAGTTGGCCATAATTTCAATTGTCCACTTCCCTCCATAATGAGATATTACCCAAAAATCCTGTATCAAGAATCTGCCTTTTCATGGTTCATTTCTCATGTGCACTGCTGAAGACTTGTATTCCTATTCTGTCACAAAACAACTAGAGTTGTCATGATAAAGTCAGCACAAATATTTATTTTACAACCATGTATGGTGGGAGGGTTGTCGGGGGGGGCTTTTTAAAAAACAAATCTCTCTACCATGTTAACAATGATGGTACACTGTTCTGGTTTTTCAGGGCCAGGTTTTTATATGATTTTCAGCAAGTGTTTTATTTCTAGTGTTTAGTGGCTTGAAGATGCTGATGCTTGACAGCATTAAGATTCTGTAAGATGCCACATACAGTAGTTAGAAAACATTTAAGCGTGAGTTGTGAGATACTGATTTATCTCACAAATGCATGTGATGTGTGTATGTAAGCAGAGAATTGGAAGCTGTTTGCAGAGGGGAGCACAAGGCATAGATCAGCATCACTAATCTACAGCTGAGATCTTATCCTGACACTTGAAAAAGAAAAATCTCATGATGAATTAGGGAAGAGTTAACTGTTTAAAATCATTTTGTTGCTTCTGTTTAACATTTGTGTGGGGGATGGGAATGGACTGTTCTGTCAAGCTGTCAAAAACTGGAGTATTCCAGCATGAAAACAAATAGCTAGGAACATCAGACTTTGTTCAAATACATTTTTCTATCTACAGATACTAGTGGTCTCTATTTGAAACCAGAACACACATTCTGAGCAGCTGCATGACACTTAAATTACTGATGTTTTTGTATAGAGTCGGTTGTTGACCTGTAGCACAATATCTATGTAATTGTCTAGTGTCTCTCCTGCTCATGAAATGGCTGGGTACAGTTTCACCTGGTGCTATGGAACACCTAGGCTATTGTGACAACTCTAGACCTGCCTGCTTTCTTGATGTAACCATGTGCAAAGTCTGTAAGTTGCAAGATGAAACGTTCTACTGTGTCAAAGCACAAGAGAGCCAATGACTTGATCCTGTTTCTTGACTAGCTCCTATGGTATAGGGAAGTATATATAAACTGAAGATTGTAATGTCCTTGTAGCTTTACTTTCTCAATGACTTCAGCCTATTTAAAGGGACAGACTTACTAAGACTGGTTTGTTCATACAGTAATGTCAGTGTAGCTTCCTAGTGTATGCAGATACATGGTACACCTGCTTGTGTTGCCTCACACTGTGTGTGATTCTTCACCTAAATGTAGAGTGTGCATTATGTCAGTCTTTAGTTGGAAACACTGTTTAGCCCATATCAGTTGTGACAAGCCAGTTTTAATTTGGACTGCCATGGCCTTACTGTTCTGTACCGACTATCGCACTGTTGCACAGACACTACCTGCTGCCTGCATTCAGTCTGAACTTGCATTTTAACTTTTTGTCCCCTTTCAGTTCTCTGAAGCATGATTTCAATTAATTCATACTCTGGTGCTGTAGAGGAGAGGGTATATTAACTTGCTGCTGTAGTCCTTCACCAGGAACTGCTACAGTTACTTTATTTAGCAAACTTGCTTGTGCCTAAAATAAGGAAACTAAACTAGAATGTGTGAATCTTTGTGGGGGACCAGGTCACTGTTTAGTTAACTGGCCTATAGCTAAACTTGATGTGTTTGGTGTTTATATACTTCACTGCTTTCAGCGTTTATGGCATCCAAACACTACCAATTGTTAACTTGTGCATTACTCTCTGCATGTGAACAACTTATACAATTACCGAACTTTGTAAATACGTGAAATTTTTTATTTAGGTGGATGCGTATGTTGGTTTACTGCTCTTCAGCTTTATTCAATAAACTTATGTTTTGAGGGTTGTATTGACACTTAACTGACTTGAGTTGATGTGGCTTAACTCATGGCAATTATGGGGTGTCTGTCTCCTCTCCCACAAGATTACAGTGGGGGAAGAAATCTTGATAAATACCTGAGCTGCTTTATGTTCTGTGGCTCAACTGCTTCAGTGAAATGCCTGTAAAACTACCTTTCAGGCCTGGGGCTTTCTCTGCATACATTAGCAAGCTTAGCTAGTCAGTCTCTGTGGACTTCAGTGCTTTTTTTTTGTTTATGAAAAGAACTTTGAGGCTGAAGGGCCTTAAGTGGGGGCAGCCTTCTGGAGCTCTGTTTTCAGAGTAAAAATGCACGTGTCTACAAGCCTGTTTCTTCTTGTCAAGCGTAGAGTAAAAACTTTGCTTTTCTAGCACAAGGGTCAGATCTAGCAGTGCCTGATCATTCACTGCCAGTTAAAGCATATTGATTCTTACCTCGTTGGAAAGTGAGGCTTTCATTGACTGAGATCTTGAACAAAATATTTGTTGTAATTTTACTCTGAAGTTACGCTCACTATTCTTCCCAAATGCTTTGTTGCATTAATTTCTCTTAGGTCACTGATTAACTCATAGGACCATATGTCAACATCTTCCAAGTAATGGTGACAAATTGGATGTCTTCTGTTCAGGGCTTGACTCCATCTAAGCTTTCAAACTTACTGAGCTGGAACAGGTTAGTGTTTAGGCCTCAATACTGGTCAGTTAGGATCCTTCATGTGTAACTCCGCTGGTGGGAAGGACTGATGAACTGTTGAGTAAAAGATCATGTGCTTATTTCTTCAGTTGATTGGGTTTCCTGCCTGCAAAACAAGCTATGTGAAGTTAACATTGAAAGCAAAATGCCTCGACACAAAATCTGAAAACAGTATTACTGCTGTAAGGTTTCTCACCCTGGTTGTTCTGATACCAATACTAATCACTTAAATCATCTGTGTTATGAACTTGGCCAACAGCTGTTTCCTTGATGTGGTATTTAAATGTTTCTACTTCTAAATGTAAATAGCAGTGAGAGCTACACTGGCCACCAATGTGTGCTCTAAAAAGTACATTTGCATTACTTCACAAGAGGAGTCCACCTGGGTTTTCACAGCTATTCTTGTACTGTTCTTCCAGATGCCTGTAGTTACTCACATGGCAGAAATGTAGACATTGAAGAGGCTATTGGAATCCAGTGCAGAGATTACACTTCTGTTTTGGGGCTTGATTATCTTCCCAACTACCTTCATTTTGAAACCAAAGGGAAGTGCAGTCTTAGCAAAGAAGGGAGGCTGTTCTCGCCATCTTTCAGCATCGGACTGAAAAAACTCAACCATCTGGCACAGTTAAGGCCAAGGTTAAACCTTTTCTGGTCTAAAAAGGTGGGGAGCCTAAGACAAGCGTTAGTGTTGTCTGCTGAACTTGGATGCTATAACTCTGTTCTGCTTCTAGAAATCTGTTGAGCCAATCTAATCTCTCACAATGATTAGTTGTCTCAGCCTGGACAGTAAGAAGAGATTGATTAAATTTCCCATTCTCTTAAAAGTTGCTTTTGGGGATGCATTTTAGTAAATTATTGTACTTAAGCATCAATAGCCGTAGTCCTGAAAAATCTCTTCTGATGTATCTGTAGGAGGCCTTGACCATTAGCATATTAAGAAACTTGGGTATTGTGAAAAAGCAAATACTGAGCCAGAGAGAACTCTTGGTCATGAATATGCATGCAAGTTAGATATCAGTCATACCTTTATGACCTCACGCTACATTGGTATTGTACAGTGTCAACGATGATTTAAATTAGCAGTCAACTCTGCTTGTTGGTACGAGTCTATAGACTGGACTGGGAGGAAATGCTTGTGCTTGCCCCCATAGCACCAGGCTGTGTGAAAGTTTTCCTTGGAGCGTTAATGTCCTGTCGATGTTGGTGTGGATGGTGGTTTCTTTAAGTGCAATTACAGTGCAGCATAATTCTCACCGCCCCGAGTACAGCTGAGTGTCTTAGCAGTTGCACAGAGCAATTCTGTCCTACCACTCGGCAACATGAAAGATGCACAAATGTGGAACTGTTTCATGATCTGTGGAACTAATAATCCAGTCTCCTATGATATGTGTTTTCTCTGCATCTTTATGGAAACAGGTTGGTCCTTCTTGGATGCTGGCATATACAACTGCATAATTTTCACTTTCTTAGAGGAAAGGAGCCCAAAGAAAATGCCTTAAACAGTCTCTCTGGTTAAAAATGTTGTGCAGGGATCTATACTAACTTGAAGTATGATTTAGCTAAATTACCAAGCTTCTGACTTTTCTAATGTTTGTGGCTGTGCAATGGCGTGTCATGATTTGCTTTGTGTGTGGTTACTGAATGTGGAAGCAGCGCACTGTCCCCCGCAGCATGCCCCAGCACTGCTCCCTGCTGGCTTGCTTTGCACTGACCCTGACTAGAGAGCTGTGGGAATTCTAAATAGGGGGTGTAAATCAGGTTATCTGAGCCGTCTTGCTAAGAGCGGTGCGTTGCCGATGACACGAACAGCGAAGCAATGAATTGTGTTAAAGGAGAAGTAATGCGTGAATGCCCTATACCGGTATGTGCTTGAGGACTTGTATTCCCAAAACGTGAGTGGAGAATGACTTGTCTCGCTAAACCATAAACCTTCAGTGAGTGGTCTGTTGCTTACAGATGGTGAACATTAAGTATGCCTTGGTGAAACACGGGGGTTTCCTTTACATGTCACTTAAATGACAAACAGGGAATGGCGCTCAAAGCGGTACTCTTTCGAAGGAGAGGTAAAATACTTGATGTTTTTATTTCCGTCACAGTGGAAGGTGGGTAAGTAGACCTTTGTGCCAGGATTAGTGCCTTTTAATTACGACATTACAGGTTTTATTCTGTTAAAGGCAACATCTATCATTGTGATCATTTTGAAGTGCTTCAATAAAAGTGTTGTTGAAAAACATTCTTTTGCACATTTATCTATAGTAGTGTAGCTGCTGTTATTATTGTTAGAAATATACTAGAAGCCCTCATTACCGAATTGTGGAAAACTTTGTTATACTCCAAGCTGAAGTAAACACATCTATACTAAAACTTCATTTTTTAAATCATCTGTGAGAAGAGCAGGCGGGACAACTCCTTAGATCACTTTTCTCACAGTGAAGAGATAAAGTGGTACCGTTCCGGGGAGGCCAATACATTCAAGCAGTAAATTCAAGAAATCTTTCCTGGACTAATTAGGAAAGCACGTTTTCACTACTATCATAGAATGGTGATCCTGAGTATATGAATGAGGCTACTTCTAAATGAATTCTAAACTTCATGGTTTTGTTTCAAAAAGAAAAAAGCTGACTGCGGTTGCCTGGTTGATGCTTGGTCAGTGTGTGCTGTGTGTTTGCAGTGGTTGCTGTGGAAACGGGTAAGAGCATTAACTACATAACCTTGAGAGCGTGACCTTGTGCTCAGCGGGGGACGCCTTTCTGGGTAGCTGTTCTGGGAAACTGAATAATTTCAGATTACACCTTTCGTTTAGATGCTGAAAGCATTTTGTTGGTCTCATTTGTGTTTGTCTGTGGAAAGACCCATCAGGGAGAAGTTCATAAACCATATTCAAAAACCGAAGCAAATACGCGAGTGGAGAAAGAAAAAGCTGTTGTGGTATGTGAAATTTAAAGCTCAACTTGATTCTTATGGGAGTCTCGGAGTGAACTGAGAAGTTGCTTCTGTGTAAACTTGGGGTGTGGAAAGATAATTCAGTCTTTTCAATAATAAGGAATTTTCCTCATTTTTTTAAGAGTGAAGAATCCCCTTCTTGGTGTGAATAGATAATACTTCTGGTGCATAAGCGGGAAGGCATTAAAAAGGTGCATGAATTCCACAGGTTAAGGAAAGGAATGGAAAGGGCAAGCTCAGGCTGAATGTGTGAACAGGCTGGAGGATTTTAACAGGATTTAGCATACCAAGTCGTGATGGACTGATTTTTACATTTCTTTGTTCTACTGTTGCAATGAATGGAAAACTTAAAGAGCAAGATCTGGGTTCTGAAATAGAAGGTATAGAATATACAGGCTGAGGATGAACCAGTGAAGTCTCGTTGGCTGTGTCTGATAACAGGCTTTAAATATTTTTCCCTGCATAGGGATTTTTCCATGTTATTTCTGTCAAACTTCTTCCTGACCCATCGTGCCCTTTCTTGCTAAAGGATGCGGCACTCGAGCGAACACCAGCCCGTAGCTCAGCAATGAGGCAGTCAGGCTTACAGCCACGGTTACTGGTTGAGGTTTCTGGGGTAGCTGAGGGCTGTGTCTCCCTTCCCCCAGCTGTGGTTTCCTCACCGCCTCTCCTGCCCTTCCGAGTGTCAAAGCAAGGCCTTCACCATCCTCGGCCGTGGGCGGTGCCAGCGGCAGGAGGAACTGATGACGACCTGCACTCGAATCGCTCGTTTCGGGGGTAGTTCGGGGTGTTTTGATTTATTTTGTTGTTGCGGCGCGCCCCCGTTCTCCGCCTCCCCCGAGGGGTGCCGCTGGGGCCGAGCCCCGCTG